AGAAAAAGAGAGAAGGAAGTTATTAGAGAAAGTGTCACTAATTTTCTTTGTAAAAAAAAAGACTAGAAACAGACGCTGTTATTTTGTTTTACATTGAAAGTGTTACTTTGGGGGTTCATAAAGATTATAATCTTTATGAACCCACAAAATAACACTTTCCATTTTTTGTTTGGATGTAAAGTCTGATGATCTGCAGTCCTTTAAAAGGGCTATGGTGAAATAATTTATTACATGGAACCTTAAAGTGTTCTGTTTTTATTTAAATTATTTGCTCTGGATTTACATTATGCTCTCTGGATTTTATCCTCTTTAGGTTTACCCATACGGATTACCTAGTTTTTCCTAAACTATATATATATATATATATATATATATATATATATATATATTAATTAATGGATCTTTTTAACCTATATTATTTACTATATAAAAAACGTTATATTTCATATGTACACGTATTTGAGTAGAAGATATTCTGTTTTTTAAATATTGGTATTAATGTCTACCAGCCTATGCCCCTTCTTTTCATTTTGGGTGGCGCATTTTCAATATTAAGAGATTAGCACAATAAAATTGACTTTATTCAAAACCAATGGACAGGAATAAGTGATACAATTTTCATTGAAAAAGAAAGGGTCTCGATGAAAATAAATTAGCTAAGACCAATTATGCAAATCAGTAGAATATTTTAACAAAACCTCTTTTCCAAAATCTCTTTCGTTAGTTTGGAAATGCAATTTTGATTTGTTCTTTGTTAATTTATGCATAAATTTCTCCCATTTTCGGAAATAAAATTGAACTTTTTTCTTAATTGTTTTAAACCAAAAAGTTTAATAAAATCAACCAGATCAGCATCTTTTAAATCAGTTGAAATTCTAAAATTTAACTTTTTTTCCTTTTCGAAAAATAAAGTAAGAATGAAGGTCGTTGTAAATCAAAATAAAATAAAGTATATATCCCTTTTTTTTCATTTTGGGAAGTCATTTTAGAATAAGGTAAAAATCATGTCATCTTTTAAATAAAATAAAGTATATATCCCTTTTTTCATTTTTGGGAAGTTTTAGAATAAGGTAAAATACATTCGTTGTAATCTTACTTCAAATAAAATAAAGTATATATCCCTTTTTTCATTTTTGGGAAGTGCATTTTAGAATAAGGTCATGTCGTTGTAAATCTTATTCAAATAAAATAAAATATATCCCTTTTTCATTTTGGGAAGTGCATTTTAGAATAAGGTAAAATGCATGTCGTTTGTATATATCCCTTTTTTTCATTTTGGGAAGTGCATTTTAGAATAAGGTAAAATGCTGTCGTTGTAAATAAAATAAAATAAAGTATATATCCCTTTTTTCATTTTGGGAAGTGCATTTTAGAATAAGGTAAAAATGCATGTCGTTGTAAATCTTACTTCAAATAAAATAAAGTATATATCCCTTTTTTTCATTTTGGGAAGTGCATTTTAGAATAAGGTAAAAATACATGTCGTTGTAAATCTTACTTCAAATAAAATAAAAGTATATATCCCTTTTTTCATTTTTTAGGAAGTGCATTTTAGAATAAGGTAAAAAATGCATGTCGTTGTAAATCTTACTTCAAATAAAATAAAGTATATATCCTTTTTTCATTTTTCATTTTAGAATAAGGTAAAATGCATGTCGTTGTAAATCTTACTTCAAATAAAATAAAAGTATATATCCCCTTTTTCATTTTGGGAAGTGCATTTTAGAATAAGGTAAAAATACATGTCGTTGTAAATCTTACTTCAAATAAAATAAAGTATATATTTTGGGAAGTGCATTTTAGAATAAAGTAAAAATACCGTTGTAAATCTTTTTAAAATAAAGTATTTTTTTCATTTTTGAAGTGCATTTTAGAATAAGGTAAAAATGCATGTCGTTGTAAAAATCAAATAAAATAAAAGTATATTTCATTTTTTTTGGGAAGTCATTTTAGAATTAAAAATGCATGTCGTTGTAAATCTTACTTCAAATAAAATAAAGTATATATCCCTTTTTTTCATTTTGGGAAGTGCATTTTAGAATAAGGTAAAAATGCATGTCGTTGTAAATCTTACTTCAAATAAAATAAAGTATATATCCCTTTTTCATTTTGGAAGTGCATTTTTAGAATAAGGTAAAAATACATGTCGTTGTAAATCTTACTTCAAATAAAATAAAGTATATATCCCTTTTTTTCATTTTGGGAAGTGCATTTTAGAATAAAGTAAAAATACATGTCGTTGTAAATCTTACTTCAAATAAAATAAAGTATATATCCCTTTTTTTCATTTTGGGAAGTGCATTTTAGAATAAGGTAAAAATGCATGTCGTTGTAAATCTTACTTCAAATAAAATAAACTATAGGCACCTTCTTTTCATTTTGGGAGGCGCATTTTAGAATAAGGTAAACATGCGTATCGTTGTAAATCTTACTTCAAATAAAGTATATGAAAGGAAATTATTTTATTCGTCATTATTTACGCTTAATTAAGGTATCGGACACGTTTACCTTTTAATTACTTTAGTCGTAAATTTCTTATTTTTTTTGAGTTCTGCTCTTTCATTGGTTCATCATTTTGTGTTGCTTATAAATGGTCTAAAGCATTAATGTGAAAACTCGACGCATGTTATTAAATAGCCTCTTCAGAGAGAGACTGTCATATGGATGTCGTATACTGCGCCAAAAATCCGTGTTTCCCAACCGGGGTTATGTCCCCTACCAGTAAGCGACATCAACTGTCGTTTGGGCGATGAACTGAACAAAAAATGGTGGGCAAATGGAAATTTTGGTGGGCGATATTGTTTTTTTTTTAATCGGAATCACCCAATGTAAGGCAGTAATGCTACCAAATCACAAGGGGTTACAGGGCGTGGACGAATTAGGAACAAAAACATTAATGATGAGCAGAAAGAGAAAACAATAATCACTTGAACAGTAGATAGCGATTGATATGGCATTTAAATTTTTGCAGATAAACCTTAGCTGAAAAGCAAGAAACCGGGAGGGAGACCTACAAGCGAAAAATGTAAGAGAAGAAACTGTTAGCATAGAACTTACGGCTACATCTATCCAGGCCAACTGCAAATTGATGAGATCTTGACGCCAGTCTAGTGCAGCACTGAAATTCAAAAACTCTAGGTACCATAGTGAGAAGCTCATTTGAACAATTACCATGAAATCATTTATAGAAAAGATATACGGCGGTGGGAAAGTGACTAGTGTTGAGCCGCCAGATCAGGGCCAGTAATATTACAGATTCTTCTTTGGATCTTATCAAAGAGCTTAAGGTAAATAGCGGGGTAACCAGGGCCAGCAATTTTCTAAGCACGGACGAATGGTAAACTTATAGATACGTAATATAGATTCCTAAGAGAAAAATTGTTTTCGACACAATGAACCAACTTTCTTAGCAGCTGACTTAGCAATGGATTCAGTATTGACTTCCCACGTCGTATCAGCAGAGAAAGCTAGCTCGTGAAGTCGCAATGAGTAACTTTCCAGGAGGATAGCATCAGCCGTGCTGATGGAAGCCAGAGAGGGGTTTCCCAGGTGATTAACGGAGAGAAGTTTAATTTTGGAGGCGTTAAAATTAACAAGTTATCTTTTGCCGCAGTTACCTACACACTTGTTGCTGATTTGGACATCGGCTGACATGTTGACCTTTGTCAGACTGATACGCCTTACTATCGAGGCAGGAGTAAATTAATGTATCGTCAGCCTAGATACAAAGTTGGGAGTCGATGTCATCAGGAGGATCGTTGATGGAGCCTTGAAAGAAACCTGTGTTACTACGAGAGGATCTAGACGAGTGGCCGTTCAGGATAACTCTCATTTCACGATTTATAGGAAAACTTGGAACAGTGCAAAAAAAGTGTCCGGATACACCGTAACTTTTCAGCTTTTGGAGAAGACTTGAATTCCTGACCCTGGTAAAGGCTTTCGAGGTGTCCAATGCAACAGACCGGGCTTCACCTTTTTATCTAGAGCATGATAAAATCTTTCTTAAAATATCGTCAGTACATCAGCAGTTGAAATGGAGAAACGAAAGTCATATTGCTTGTTTTTGAAAAGGCCTTGCGATTAGAGATGATGAACCAAATCAGTATTGATAGGGTTTCTAGGAGTTCTCCAAAAGGATGTAGAATAAGCCGACAGTTGGAAGTGTCGGACAGCTCACAAGAGTTATTAAAATCTGATACAACAGATGATGATTTCAAGCAGACAGAAAAGCACGAAGCAGCGAACCATTTATTATACAGCTTAGAGAGAACAGGTGTCAGTTTGGCAGCACACTGCTTAATGACTCTTACAAGGATACCATCGGGCCCACATACGTTGTGGGGATCTAGATGTTAGCAGATATCATGGAGGAGGTTATTTGCATATCACTCAACAGAGACTCAGTTCTAGGAGAGAAGGTAGATAGAAATGAGTCAAATGTTGAGTTTGAGGTGAATTTACGGAAGAAACATTCAACTTCATCGGCAGAGGATGATAACACCTCATATTGATTGAAGAGGTTTAATGCAGAGTCGCAAGTAATCGCGAGAGCCAAAGATGTTAGAGGCGATGCGGTGCATCATTCTCTCGACAGAGACATTGTTCCTTCAGTGACTCTCTTACATTTATTGCGAGAGGAAACGAATAGATGTCTGTTGTGACGAGCGTCGCCACGCTGATATAGCCTAAATTAGTGGTTCCTGTGCGCTGTAGCAGCCGAGCAGGCTGGTGTCAACCATAGAGAGGATAGAGTTTTTTGTTTTTTTTATAGAATTTTAAAAAGGTATTTTAACATATGGTACCTCAAAAATATTCAAATAGATGCATAAAGAAACTGTATGCAAAAAAAAACAAAAGTTGGAGGAAATAGAAATTACAGGTCTAATTTCTAGATAAAATATAAATATCCTCGCAAACAAAGAATCCTGTCATATTTTCCATAGGTTTGAGAAGGGCAATTAACTTTCAAATAGATCGTCCGGTCATAAATCAATTGAGAGATGGCCAAAAACAACTTTCTCGAAAAGTAAGTTACAAACTTTTACCAAACAATTTTGGTATACTTTTTGAATATCTCTATCTATAAAAGGCAGGATGTGTGTGTGTGTGTGTGTGTGTGTGTGTGTGTGTGTGTGTGTGTGTGTGTGTGTGTGTGTGTGACGAATGCACGGTCGCAATTTTCGACGGATTTGCATCAAAATTTACATGCACGTGCTTCAAGTTAGCGTAAAGGCCAATACCGACTTTGCATTTCCCAACTCCCATCGATAGTGGAAATAATCGATTTTTTAATGCTTCTACGGCAGTTTTTATGTAGTTTGCGGCCATTTTCTACTAGTCAGAGTGAAAACCTATATCTGGCTGCCACGAATAGGCAGGAAGATTCTATTGGCCAGCGTGAGAGCCAACAGCTGACTGACACGAGTGTTAACTAGCATGATAGCATGCAAAAAATCGATAGCTGCATTCGTCACGAGTGGGAAAAATTTAAATCTGTATGGCACTTTACTCCAATTGGCTCATTCGCTTGCTTAAACTCCACGTTGATTCTGATTCCGCAGAACTGGGTTGGGTGTGAAAAAGTATTTGTTTGTAACATTCTTTTTTCATTCGATTTTTCCAGTTACGAGTCCTTTTTTAAAGCTGATCGTTTTGTGTTCATTTTGTTTAGTTCTTTTTTTGTAACAGATTTAATGTTTAATATAGAGCTTCGAAAAATTCGCAGTGTGAGATATGCAAGAAGTAAGGCATGTAGCAACATCAGCACGTCAAAGGGCACTCCTTTAAAGGCAAGGAAGGGCAAAAATATTTTAAGTCAAGTGATAGCGATTGCTGTATGAGTCGTACTATTTTTGAATCAAGCCCGGGCAACGCCGGGCCATGCTGCTAGTTTACTATATAGGTAAGCGAAGGAAATTTTTTCCATCTTCAGATGGTGGGGAATAACGCAAAAAAAAAAGATTGGGAAACCGCTTTCGAAGCTCAAAGGTTAAAAATATCTTTCAGCGAGTGAAGTCTAAGGGTTTTGGTGAAGATCCACTTTTTCGAAAAACTATAGCAAATAACTGAAACTACATAACTTGTGAAAATTTAGCAGCAGCAATAGCTAAAAGGGATATGGCATGTTACTCGAATAGAAATTTTTGACATAATTAAGATGTTGGCATTCCACATTACTTAAAATAAAAGGTTAAGAAAACAAACCCTGTCAATCCGTGAAATAGGGTTAGCAGAAACATATTTTGGTCAAAAACTGTTTTATGGGGATGGTTTTATAAATTTCAATTGACAGTAGTCAATCTGCTCGATCAGTATTTCCTTATAAGGAAACGGCTAATATTACCATTACTAATCTCTCCTTGTGTCATGTAAATCTCTTTTTCTTGAACTCATTTCTTCTCAACACTTAAAATAATTATCTCTTTTCGATTTGGTTTCCTTCCAGTACAAACTTCGTCCGACATTTTGGATCATATCACTTGACTCAGATTCCTATCACATAAACTTTTTCTTTCTTCAATCATCCCCCATCTCTCTCTCTCTCTCTCTCTCTCTCTCTCTCTCTCTCTCTCTCTCTCTGTTTATTTACTATTTCTCTCTTCACGTCTTCTCTGTTCGTTTCTTCTCTCTATTTCTCGTAGTTTCCTCGTTCCTTTATCTTTCTTTTTTCACCCATTTTCTTTCTTTCTTTCTTTCTTTCTTTCTTTCTTTCTTTTATGTTCCTCCTCCCGCCTCTATTTATTGGTTTCTTTTTCTTTCTTGGTTTCTTTGTTCGCGGTTTCTGCCTTTTCACATTCTCCATCTCTATTTCTTTGTTCCTCTTTTTTTTATCATTATTCGCTCCTCCGCTCTTTCTTTCTACGTTCCATTTTACTTTGTTTCTTCACACCACATTCTTTCCTCTTCTCTCACTTTCTTCACTACTTTCTTTCTTTTTCTTTCTTTCTTCACTTCTTTCTTTCTTTTTTCTTTCTTATTCACCTCGTTGTTTCTTCGTTCCAGTCTTCTGTCTTTCTTCACTCATCCTCTATTTTTTTTTTTTTTTTTTCCTTCTTCTTCTCTTTGTTTCGCTATTCCGCTTCCGTTTCTTTGATCTCTCTTTCCCTCTCTGTCTTAGGCGCCCTTTCCTTTGTTCTTTCAGACCTCCTCTCTTTATTTATGTTTTCCTCTTTTCTTTCTTTTCTTCACGCATGATGTTTTTTTGTTTCGTTTTTCCTTCATCTTAATTCCGCCTATCTTTGCATATGTATTCCTTCTTTATCTGCTTATTCTTTCTTTTTTTTCGATTTCTTTCTTCGCTTCCTTTTTTTATCTTTGATCTCTCCTCCTCCTTGTTATACTTTCTCTCTTTATTTGGGGGTTGATAAACCGTAGAAAATGACAAAATAAAATCTCTCTATTTATCTTCTATTTATTCTTCATTGACATTCTTTTTGTTTATTCGTTCCTTTTTTTTTTTTTGATCTCACGTTCTCTTTCTTTATTCGCCCCACAAGAACTCTTGAACGGAAGGTTCGAAACACTTTGTTTCTTTGCTTCTTATTTCCTATTTAATTCTTTCTCTCTTTTTTTTACTTATCATTGCGTTTTTTATTCATTCTTATTCATTTATTACTCCACTCCTCCTCTCCTTGTTACTTCGGAACTCTTTTCTTTCTTTCTTTCTTTCTTTCTTTCTTTCTTTCTCTCTTTCTTTCTTTCTCTCTTTCTTTCTCTCTCTCTTTCTTTCTTTCTCTCTCTCTTTCTTTCTCCCTTTCTCTCTCTCTTTCTTTCTTTCTCTCTTTCTTTCTCTCTCTCTTTCTTTCTTTCTCTCTTTCTTTCTCTCTTTCTTTCTTTCTCTCTTTCTTTCTTTCTCTATTTCTTTTTTTTCACTCCTACTCTCTTTGTTTCTTTATCGCTCGTTTTCTTTTTTAATTACCCCGCTTCTCTTTCTTTCCTCCTCCTTCTATACTTTCTATCCTCGCTTCTCCTCTCTTTCTTTCTTCGTTTCTTTTTTTCTTTGATTCTTCACTCCTCCCTAATGTTTCTTCCATTATCTTTTCTTTCTTTCTTTCTTTACTCCGCCTCTCTTAGTCTTTTTTCCCTCCTTATCTGCTTCATTGCCCCTCTTTTCTTCTCCTCCGCCTGTTCTTTCGATCTTCTATCTTTCTCTCTTTCCTCGTTCTTTTTTCTATGATTATTCACTCCTTCCTAGTTGTTTTTTTCATCGTCTTTTTCTTTTTTCTTCTCTCCTTCTCTCTTTTCTTTCTTCTCTACCTCGTTTTTTTCTTTCATTACCTCTCACCTCCTTCTCTTTCCTCCTCCTTCTATACTTTCTTTCCTCGTTTCTTCTCTCTTTCTTTCTTCGTTTCTTTTTTTTCTTTCTTTCTTCCTCCTCCCCTAATGTTTCTTCCATTATCTTTTCTTTCTTTCTTTTTCTCCTCCTCTCTTAGTCTTTTTTCTTTCCCTCCTTATCTGCTTCGGCCCTCTTTTCTTCTCCTCCGCCTGTTCTTTCGATCTTCTATCTTTCTCTCTTTCCTCGTTCTTTTTTCTATGATTATTCACTCCTTCCTAGTTGTTTTTTTTTTTCATCGTCTTTTCTTTCTTTCTTCTCACCTTCTCTCTTTTGTTTCTTCTCTCCCTCGTTTTTCTTCTTTCATTACCTCTCACCCCTTTTCTTTCCTCCCTCCTTCTATACTTTTCTATCCTCCTTCTCCTCTCTTTTTCTTTCTTCGTTTCTTTTTTTTCTTTGATTCTTCCTCCTCCCTAATGTTTCTTCCATTATCTTTTCTTTCTTTTCTTTACTCCTCCTCTCTTAGTCTTTTTCCCTCCTTATCTGCTTCATTGCCCTCTTTTCTTCTCCTCCGCCTGTTCTTTCGATCTTCTATCTTTCTCTCTTTCCTCGTTCTTTTTTCTATGATTATTCCTCCTTCCTAGTTGTTTTTTTCATCGTCTTTTCTTTCTTTCTTCTCACCTTCTCTCTTTTGTTTCTTCTCTCCCTCGTTTTTCTTCTTTCATTACCTCTCACCCTTTTCTTTCCTCCTCCTTCTATACTTTCTATCCTCCTTCTTCACCCTTTCTTTCTTCGTTTCTTTTTTTCTTTGATTCTTCCTCCTCCCTAATGTTTCTTCCATTATCTTTTCTTTCTTTCTTTACTCCTCCTCTCTTAGTCTTTTTTCCCTCCTTATCTGCTTCATTGCCCCTCTTTTCTTCTCCTCCGCCTGTTCTTTCGATCTTCTATCTTTCTCTCTTTCCTCGTTCTTTTTTCTATGATTATTCACTCCTTCCTAGTTGTTTTTTTTCATCGTCTTTTCTTTCTTTCTTCTCACCTTCTCTCTTTGTTTCTTCTCTCCCTCGTTTTCTTCTTTCATTACCTCTCACCCTTTTCTTTCCTCCTCCTTCTATACTTTCTATCCTCGCTTCTTCTCTCTTTCTTTCTTCGTTTCTTTTTTTCTTTGATTCTTCACTCCTCCCTAATGTTTCTTCCATTATCTTTTCTTTCTTTCTTTACTCCTCCTCTCTTAGTCTTTTTTCCCTCCTTATCTGCTTCATTGCCCCTCTTTTCTTCTCCTCCGCCTGTTCTTTCGATCTTCTATCTTTCTCTCTTTCCTCGTTCTTTTTTCTATGATTATTCCTCCTTCCTTGTTGTTTTTTTTTCATCGTCTTTTCTTTCTTTCTTCTCACCTTCTCTCTTTGTTTCTTCTCTCCCTCGTTTTCTTCTTTCATTACCTCTCACCCTTTTCTTTCCCTCCTTCTATACTTTCTATCTTCCTTCTCCTCTCTTTCTTTCTTCGTTTTTTTTTTTCTTTGATTCTTCCTCCTCCCTAATGTTTCCTTCCATTATCTTTTCTTTCTTTCTTTACTCCTCCTCTCTTAGTCTTTTTTCCCTCCTTATCTGCTTCATTGCCCTCTTTTCTTCTCCTCGGCCTGTTCTTTCGATCTTCTATCTTTCTCTCTTTCCTCGTTCTTTTTTCTATGATTATTCACTCCTTCCTAGTTGTTTTTTTCATCGTCTTTTCTTTCTTTCTTCTCTCCTTCTCTCTTTCTTTCTTCTCTCCCTCGTTTTCTTCTTTCATTACCTCTCACCCTTTTCTTTCCTCCTCCTTCTATACTTTCTATCCTCGCTTCTTCTCTCTTTCTTTCTTCGTTTCTTTTTTTCTTTGATTCTTCACTCCTCCCTAATGTTCCTTCCATTATCTTTTCTTTCTTTCTTTACTCCTCCTCTCTTAGTCTTTTTTCCCTCCTTATCTGCTTCATTGCCCCTCTTTTCTTCTCCTCCGCCTGTTCTTTCGATCTTCTATCTTTCTCTCTTTCCTCGTTCTTTTTTCTATGATTATTCACTCCTTCCTAGTTGTTTTTTTTCATCGTCCTTTCTTTCTTTCTTCTCTCCTTCTCTCTTTGTTTCTTCTCTCCCTCGTTTTCTTCTTTCATTACCTCTCACCCTTTTCTTTCCTCCTCCTTCTTCTATCCTTTCTATCCTCCTTCTCCTCTCTTTTTTTCTTTCTTCGTTTCTTTTTTCTTTCTTTGATTCTTCCTCCTCCCTAATGTTCCTTCCATTATCTTTTCTTTTCTTTTCTTTACTCTCCTCTTAGTCATTTTTCCCCTCCTTATCTGCTTCATTGCCCCTCTTTTCTTCTCCTCCGCCTGTTCTTTCGATCTTCTATCTTTCTCTCTTTCCTCGTTCTTTTTTCTATGATTATTCACTCCTTCCTAGTTGTTTTTTTTCATCGTCTTTTCTTTCTTTCTTCTCACCTTCTCTCTTTGTTTCTTCTCTCCCTCGTTTTCTTCTTTCATTACCTCTCACCCTTTTCTTTCCTCCTCCTTCTATACTTTCTATCCTCGCTTCTTCTCTCTTTCTTTCTTCGTTTCTTTTTTTCTTTGATTCTTCACTCCTCCCTAATGTTTCTTCCATTATCTTTTCTTTCTTTCTTTTTCTTTTTTCTTTCACTCCTCCTCTCTTAGACTTTTTCCCTCCTTATCTGCTTCATTGCCCTCTTTTCTTCTCCTCCGCCTGTTCTTTTCGATCTTCTATCTTTCTCTCTTTCCTCGTTCTTTTTTCTATGATTATTCCTCCTTCCCTAGTTGTTTTTTTCATCGTCTTTTCTTTTATTCTTCTCACCTTCTCTCTTTGTTTCTTCTCTCCCTCGTTTTCTTCTTTCATTACCTCTCACCCTTTTCTTTCCTCCTCCTTCTATACTTTCTATCCTCGCTTCTTCTCTCTTTCTTTCTTCGTTTCTTTTTTTCTTTGATTCTTCACTCCTCCCTAATGTTTCTTCCATTATCTTTTCTTTCTTTCTTTACTCCTCCTCTCTTAGACTTTTTTCCCTCCTTATCTGCTTCATTGCCCCTCTTTTCTTCTCCTCCGCCTGTTCTTTCGATCTTCTATCTTTCTCTCTTTCCTCGTTCTTTTTTCTATGATTATTCACTCCTTCCTAGTTGTTTTTTTTCATCGTCTTTTCTTTCTTTCTTCTCACCTTCTCTCTTTGTTTCTTCTCTCCCTCGTTTTCTTCTTTCATTACCTCTCACCCTTTTCTTTCCTCCTCCTTCTATACTTTCTATCCTCGATTCTTCTCTCTTTCTTTCTTCGTTTCTTTTTTTTTTTGATTCTTCACTCCTCCCTAATGTTTCTTCCATTATCTTTTCTTTCTTTCTTTACTCCTCCTCTCTTAGACTTTTTTCCCTCCTTATCTGCTTCATTGCCCCTCTTTTCTTCTCCTCCGCCTGTTCTTTCGATCTTCTATCTTTCTCTCTTTCCTCGTTCTTTTTTCTATGATTATTCACTCCTTCCTAGTTGTTTTTTTTCATCGTCTTTTCTTTCTTTCTTCTCACCTTCTCTCTTTGTTTCCTCTCTCCCCTCGTTTTTCTTCTTTCATTACCTCTCACCCTTTTCTTTCCTCCTCCTTCTATACTTTCTATCCTCCTTCTTCTCTCTTTCTTTCTTCGTTTCTTTTTTTTTTTTCTTCTTCCTCCTCCCCTAATGTTCCTTCCATTATCTTTTCTTTCTTTCTTTACTCCTCCTCTCTTAGTCTTTTTTTCCCTCCTTATCTGCTTCATTGCCCCTCTTTTCTTCTCCTCCGCCTGTTCTTTCGATCTTCTATCTTTCTCTCTTTCCTCGTTCTTTTTTCTATGATTATTCACTCCTTCCTAGTTGTTTTTTTCATCGTCCTTTCTTTCTTTCTTCTCTCCTTCTCTCTTTCTTTCTTCTCTCCCTCGTT